CAACAGATATGGAAAACAAAATGATGGCCAACAGATTGAAAGTGATCAGTATACATCCCCAAAAACAAAAAGGGAGACACAGGAGCAACTATAGGACCATAGCAAGTAAAATCATTCTCAAAATTCTGCAACATAGGCTCCAAACATACATGGAGAGAGAAATCCCAGAGGTCCAAGCGGGGCTTGGGAAAGGAAGAGGCACAAAAGACCATATTGCAAACATATGATGGCTAATGGAGCACACCAGGGAATTCCAAAAGAAAACCAGCATGTGCTTTATAGACTATAGCAAAGCCTTTGACTTCATAGATCATGAAAAGTTATAGAATGCCCTTAAAGACATGGGAGTGCCAACACATCTGATACTCCTGATGAGGAATCTGTACTCAGGACAAGAGGCTACTGTCAGAACAGAACATGGAGAAACAGAATGCTTCCCAATTGGCAAGGGAGTCAGACAAAGCTGCATCCTTTCACCCTATCTGTTCAACTTGTAGACAAAACATATTATAAGTAAAGCAGGCTTAGGCCCAGAAGAAGGAGGAGTGAAAATAGGAGGAAAGAATATCAACAATCTAAAATATGCAGATGATACCATAGTACTAACAGAAAACCTCACAGACCTGGAACACCTATTAAGAAAGATCAAAGAAAATAGTGCTAAGGCAGGCTTAATGTTGAACATCAATTAAACAAAAATAATGACCACTGAGGACCTTCACAAGTTCAACCTAGAAAATGAAGAAATAGAAATAGTAAAAGAATTCCCATACCTGCGATCAAACATTGATAAAAATGGAGACTGCAGTCAGGAAATCAGAAAAAGACTAAGAATGGGGAGGGTGGCTATGAAAGAACTAGGGAAGATTCTAAAATGCAAAGATATACAATTCAGAACAAAAGTTAGAAGCATAAAAGCCATTGTATTCCCTATTACCATGTATGGAAGTGAGAGCTGGACAATTAAGAAAGATTATAAGAAGAAAATTAATTCATTTGAGATAATGTGGTGCTGGAGAAGAGTGCTGAGGATTCTGCAGACAGCCAAGAAGACAAACAAATGGGTCCTAGAACAGATCAAGCCAGAAATATCCGTGGATCCCAAGTTGACAAAACTGAACACATCATGAGAAGGCATGACTCACTGGAAAAAACAATAATGCTAGAAAAGGTGGAGGGGAGTAGAGAGTTAGGCCACATGCTAGGTAGACTCTATGAAGGAGGTCACAGTATAAGTTTGCAGGAACTAAGCAGTGCAGTAGAGGACAGAAGGTCTTGGAGATCTCATCCACAGGGTCACCATGGGTCAAGATCAGCTCAAGAGTGATTAACAAGAAGAAGAAGAAGAAGAAGAAGAAGAAGAAGAAGAAGAAGATTTCATCTGTGTATCTTAAATTGTTGATGTACCTTCCTCCTATTTTCATAACTCTTTCACCTCAATTTAAACCAGCTTCCCTGATATATTCAGCATATAAATTAAACAGAAGTAACAAAAGTGCCATTATCTCTGAGAGATCCTCCACCAATGTCATTCCTCTCTACTGCTGTAGCCCAGTAGTTGTTTGGCACCTACCATCTGGCTCCTGAAAAAACGCCTGACAAAAGAGACCCTGCCACCAGCAATGCTACCATCAACAGTCTCTTGCCTCACAGTAACATGCAATACCATTACCATGGCAAGGTAGTATCATGCTGAGGCTTTGGATATTACGATGTCTTGATTGTGTGCCTTCCTCTCATAGCTATAACAGAAGAGAAAGGACACAACATGGTTGCAGAAATCTGTATAGCTTCAGCTACAAGAAATGAAAACACACAACGGTGTTCTCTGGTAAATGCAGTCCTCTCAAGCTGTGTAAATCATATCTGCTTCTGACAATCAGTGATGGAATGGGGGAGAGAAAGGCAATTTTATGAGGCTTTAATAGAAAAGGGAATTTTACAACAGTTCATTTTTAAGAGGCTTTAAAAAAAAAACACCCTTCTCACCCCAGCACTTAAATATGCATTGAACCCATAAAATGAAGCCAAAAGTGACAAAAACCAAAGCATGTTTTGCTAAAACAAAATGCCTTAGCTTTAGCCATGTCCAAAATAAACTTCTGACTATGCGCAACATTCTTTTGCAAAATAAACTCAAATCTTTTGCCAGCAATAACCTAAATAACCTATATACTGATGTGGTATTAAAAAAGACTTGGACGCTTGAGTTGGGAGACAAACTGTCAACCAACCACTAATTGGATTTTATGATGTGAGTCACAGCTTAGCAATTTCCCCTGAATTTAATCACAGTGTACCCAAAAAGATCAATTAAAGATTAGCCTCAAAATTTGTTAGGCACTGGGCAAAAGGATGACCTCAGTAACTTCACCACAGAATTTTATGAATGAACAAAGAGACGATGCCTTTTTTTAAAGACAAGATTCATCTTATACTCCACCATTTTGTTGGTTTTGCTGCTGCTTTGTTGTCATTGCCATCTTTTTGCTTTTTGGAATCGTGTATATCTTTAAACAGAATTGGGCTCAGGGGGGAAATAGTTGATTTTTGCAGTATTTATCGACACATGATTGATTTTTTTCTGTTTCATTTAAATATTTTAATTTTATCTTATATTTTAAGGTGGAATTCTAGACAGACAGACAGTGGTGGCTGGTGGCTCTTGTTCTTTTAGTCTGAACTTTAGAAGAGGTATCCAAAGTGATGAGCTCATTTTGGAGGAAAGGGATTTGCCATCATGCTAACATAGAAGTTGCCACCATGGATAGGCAGATGGATAACAGCAAGAGGAACAGCAAGGCTAATTATTTTCATTTCTTGAATAGCAATACTTTATAGCTCAAGAAGATTTTGAATTAAGGTACACATTCTAAGAGATCCAGTGTTGTGTAGTGGTTGGAGTGTTGGACTACGATTCCAGAGATCAGGGTTCAGTTCCCTGCTTGGTCCTAAAACCCACTGGGTGACTGCGAACAACTCACATGCTCTCACCCTCATGGGAAGACAATTGCAAACCTCCTCCAAACAAATCCTGCCAAGAAAACCCCAGGATAGGTTTGCCTTAGAGCAGGGGTAGGCAACTTTTTTGAGCCGGGGGCCAGGTTGCTGTCCCTCAGACAATTGGGGGGCTGAAGCACCAAAAATAAATAGATAAATATAAAAAAAATTAAAAAAATTAAAAAATATGCATGCACACTCTCTCAGCCCCAGAAAAAGCCATGGCAAAACCCCTGTGGAGATTTTGCCAAGAAAACTCCAAGAACAAGTAATAACAACAATAATCAATATCATGGCGGGGGGCAGTGACGGCAGCGGCAGGACCAGCCTAGGGCCAGTCCAAAGGCCTCGGGGTTGCCTACCCCTGCCTTAGAATCACCGTAAGTTGGAAATGACTTGAAGGCAAACAACAATAAACACATTCTAAGCCTGCTAAAGTCTCCCACCTGAACACTGATAAGCTAGTGACCTAAGAGATGTCATCATAATTAGAGCTAAACTGACCTGTTACTTATAGGCTAGGCATGTGTTTGTTTATTACTCTTCCATCACATTCTTTCTACAAAAGGTCAAAGTCCAAAGCCCAGGTGGACTCCTATCCAAGAAATTTCCTCAGATCATAATGACTTATCTTTATAACTGGAATTACAGCTTGTTAATTACAATTAAGTATAATACCAAGGTCAGAAAATGATTTTTATTAGAATCTTCTAGTAGAAAACCTTGCCTTGTGTTTTAATTCATACAATCTGTTTCAGGACTTGCTACTCCAAGTCAAAGACTGCACTAGCAGCATGGCTGTGATTAGAAAATAAAACTATTATAATTTATTATATTCCTATCACCCAAAATGGGACTCAAGATGGCTAACAATAAAGCAAATAAATTAAATACCATTGAAACATAAAACAAATTTAATTGAAATATAAGACACTTCCAAATATTTAAAAATGCATCAATAAGGGGAAAACCATCTCAGATTAAGAGTCCCTCTTGCAGCAGCCAGCATAATCGCCAAAGGTATGCTTGAATAAAATGGTATTTGCCTACCAGGAGAAGGACAACATGGAAGGCACCAACCTGGACTCATTTTAAGTAGGTAGTTCCACAATCTGGAAGTAGCCATTGAGAACCACTTGGCTTGAGTGAAAATCTCACAGAATGAAGCTTTACAGAAACACCCTTCTGGGTAATGCTATTCCAACACAGTTGTGTTATCTGCAGCAAGCACACCAAAAATGACAGTATAAATCAAGCCATAATTGTTCTACCAACGTAGAGGTGTTTTCTGTACACCCCGATCTCTTTTTCTATCTCCTTTCCACCAATGTGTAACTACGATGAAAATTTAGCAGAGTTGCATTTCATGTATTTATAAAGTTTATCCTTTCCCTAATGTTCAGAATAGCTGACCAAAATAGACAATAAAAAGTATTTGAAAAGATACACTGTTTAACTTTCTTCATTTAGCTAAAACAGAGGTGTCCAACCTGGGGTTCCCACAACCCCAGCAGGTGCACAATGGAATTTCAGAAGGTGCAACAAAGATGCTGTTTACAATTTTTTTCTGATCAAATTATAATTCAATTTCTTAGTTTAGATTTGCATTTTATGCACTGATTTAAAAACTTTGTTTTTAAATTTTATTTGTTCACTCACAATACTGTACACAGTTCAATTTATGTTTCAAAAATAAGAAAATAGACTACTTCATCTTCAAATGCGATATTACTTTTGAAGCTCAGTGTGAACATTAATCAAACATTTTCTAGGGGTGTGGGGCACAGAAAAGGTTGGGAACCACTGATCTAAAAGCTTATGCAAGTGTTTTCTCTTCAAGCTCAAGGCAGAAGGCAAAACCTATCAATGTCTTAGATCTTCCATCACATTGATACAACATATTGTAAGTCACCATCGGCATAATTACAAGAGGTTGTGGAGGCTGCTTCCTCTGCTCAACTGCTTACCAATCCTCAAGGAGGCTGCCAAGCACAGCTGTGTTTCCTCTGCATACCCAGGTGGTTTCTGACTGTCTTCAACATCGAGGGAGGGCGGAACTACTCAAAGTAAAGTTGCTCCTTCTTCCCCTACTAACAGAATAAGTCCAGATGCATCCTTGTAGGCAATCATTGGTCAGGGAGATGGAACTACATCCAAGGAAGTGCATCCTGGCTCTTGTTATATGACAGGATGGAGCATTGTTGAAAAAAATACTGTATATCTCCTTTAACAAGACTTTAAAAAGTAATACATAGGGGAAACCACTAGTTATGGCTGTGTACATCAATAACAGGTTGCCAGCTAATGGCTCTTAACCACAATGATTATGAAATACTTCCAATATCAGAGATGCCATGGCTCTAAAAATAGTTGCTAATGAAAATGAGTGAAAAGATGTCATTGTGCTTATATCTCTGCTTCTGGTGTTCCAACAGTCATCTAGCCAAACACTGTGGAAACTGACTGCAGACCAGAGATGGGTGAAGTGTGTCTTTTGGGCTGTATGCAGTCTGCAGGGCTGTTTTTATATCATCCATTATTATTATTTTTTGCCCTAAAATATTCTCTGGAGGGTGAGCTTTTCACCACATTTTTGCCCCACACCCAAAGCCAATTTATGCCCAGAAGAGTCTTTAGAAAAACAGGACATCAACAGGAAGTGAATTGCCTTCATGTCTTGTTATTAAAAATGGTCTCTCCTGGGCCTAACACAGCTCATGGGACTAAAAATATGGTGAAAATGCCCTCTACACCCCTGAGAGAACATTTTTTTGTTTTTGTTTTGCAGGAGGTATGGTGGACATCTCCTAGCAAGTTGTCCTCGAAAATAATGGCAAACCTTTTAGGGGCCAAGCGCCCAAACTAAAAGGCCTTCAGTCCTCCGAGGGTGGGACAGAAGCCTTCAGCTGACTCTCCAGAGACAGCTAGAGGTCCGGGAGAGTGAGGGGGGAATAAGAGGAACAGCACGCCATCCCTGGCCTTCAGCTGCCTCTGGAGAGGCAGCTGAAGGCTGGGGAGGGTCGGGAAGGAGAAGGAACAGGCAAGCGTCTCTTCCTTCTCTTTCCCCCACGCTGTCTCCAGAGAAGCAGCTGAAAGCCTGGGCTGACCGGGAAGGAGGAGGAACAGGCACATGCCTCTTCTTCCTCATCCCCGCCCTTTGCATGCTGGGGAAAATGGCTTCATGTACCATCTCTGTCATGCATGCCATAGGTTCACCACCACAGCCCTAGCCTTCCACAGTTCCCTGTTGCTGCTGTATACTGTGTTTTTTCACAGCCCTTACCTCATACCCTTACTTCATCCAAGTAACAAAGTATACTAGGTACACTAGGACTGAGGGAGACCAAGGGCTGACTGGCCCAAGGTCACATACCCAAGGCTTCATGACTGAACAAGGACTTCCCAGTTTCAACATTTTCACCATTCTCCTGTCTTTTAAAAAATGGCTTAGGGAAACCAGACCACCAGTCCCACTTGCAAAGCACCAGCTGATCCAATGTGTCATTGTTCTTTAAGGTCTCAGAAAGGAGCGTCTCCAAGCCTCCTAAGATGTTATCCATAAAAAATTTAAAAAGTAGCAAGGATTGAACCTGGCAATCTTGGCTTCTAGAAAATCTGCTCTACCATTCAGCTGTGGTCATGTCTGTTATCGTCATAAACATATCTATTACACACACGCTGGTAACTAATGCCAAGATGAGAGAAACAGTCGAGTAGAAATACAGAAGGTGCAGAGAATTCACATTCCCTTTAATGTCTATTACTACTAGTTCTTGGATGATGAATGCAGGTATCTTTTCTGTGAATATAAAGAAGATGACAGATGGGGAACGCTTTCATCTCAGCTAGTAGCTATTATTTCTCAAAGGATTAATATAAATAAACTGAACAACAGAAATATAAAAGGTACAACTGAAACCAATGCTGAAATTCTTACTTGGCTCATTTCTACAACCACCACTGGAAACAATATTGTAAAAAATATCTTTAAAAGGGAGACAATTAGAACATCTGTTAGCTTATATTTAAAAGTCATTTTAAAAGACATCTGTTAGGTACTATAGTAGCAGTTACTCAACTCTGGAATACCCTCATGAGAAAACCAATTTCACTTCCTCTTTAATAACTTTCTGGAAGCTGGTGAAGACCTTACTTTTTAGAAAAGGATGTTTGCTGTTACATGCCATTGAAATATGTAATCTTCAGCTTGCTATTTTAATTTGCCAGTGGATGGGTCCAACATTACCTTTCTACTGGCAAAACAGCAGGATCTCAATGAATCCAGAATTAAATAGACAGTGTAGTCCAAGAGCCATCCCATATTTTATTTTATTTTATTTTATTTTATTTTATTTGTTGCCTGTCTCCCAATTTGGACTCAAGGCAACTCACAAAGAGGTAAAAACAACAGCAATAAAACAGTACAGTGTTAAAACACCATTAAAACACCACACTAATATAACAAATAAAAATATAAAATCCTTTTTAAAAACCAAGTTTAACAACTATAAAGCCATTACAAACCATGTGTGCATGGATGTGTGTACTTAATATTCTATCTTTCTCCCAATTGGTCAGATATCATTTTGGGAAAATTAGAAGATTAGTTTTAGTATTTTGCTTTTTAACATGTGTATATATGTACCTATTATTTCAGAGAAAGGAACTGGCAAAATGACCTCTGTGTACTTCTTATCTAAGAAAACTATGAAATTCATGGGGTCAACAGGCAACCTGAAGACACATACGCACACATATATGTCAGAGGAAGTCTTTTTTTAATTGCAAGAATGATTGTTATAAGTTATAATTATTTATTTTGTTGTTAGTTTCCTTAAGGCAGGAAACAAATGTTTTAAAATAAATTCTTGCTACCTCTGTGCAGGCATACGGAAGCCAGAGGTGAAAACAACTGTATTCTATTGAGCCCTACAGTGATCTTAATAATAATA